TATAATTATTTAAGGAGCGGCACAAAATGTTTTGTAAATGAGCAAACAATGCTGACTTAAAAATTAAAATGTATTTTCATTGAAATGTTTAAAAAATACTTTCTCATAAAAAAGCAAAAATTTGCCATAATTTGTAAAAATGCAAAAGCATGTTTTTAAAGGTATGTACAGTTTAAAAATTTCTACAAAAATAAGAAGTAAAATAGAAAAAAAATCAAGCTTAAATGAAATCATATTCTTCAAAACTGAGTTTATCCCATTGCACCTAAACTTATAATTAGCGTAGACAAATAGGTAATAAAACATTTCTAGTTATGATTAATAAAACCTCATTTTTATAATCTTAATGAAGAAAGCATACTTAATTAAAAACAAATAGTAAAAAACTAGTTATATGGTAAGCAACACTTTTATTAAGCAAATATTTAAAATAGTAAAATACCAGTTTTATGGTTATAATAAATAATCTATCAATATTTCTATTTTAATAATGCTTTTTTTTTTAAATGCGAACAAACAACGTGTTCAATTACTAGAAAAAGTTAGTTTTCTATCCTTCTATCCCAACATATGTTCACTTACTAAAGGACTATTACTTTTCTTCACTTATAGAACAATATACTATTTTACCATTTTTCTTATATTTTTATTTTTATGGAAATATATATTTGCAGTTTTTTTATATAAAATTATATATGATTATGATTTGCAAGGGAATTTAATTTTAAATTTATTTTTATAAGGTGTTCGCAGTCAAGTCTAGCTGCAAGGAGATTTTCAGCACTTCAGCACTGAAAGGAATTACAGTCAGCTTTGGTTTTAGCATGCTTTTTTTGTTTATTTATGCCTGCTATGGTACATTTATTTTTTGTTTATACATAAGCCACAATAAAATCTACGTTATATAATGTTCTTATAAAAAATTGATAATAACAAAAAATTATATTTTATTAAATTAAATATATATATATTGCAATCTTTAACCATACCACACAAGTAAATTCTTTTTTTATTACCTAAAATTATATTTACATTTGAATACGTTTCCTTTCAGCCTGAAAGTTTCAGGCTAAGTGTATTATGTTTAGGGAAAGTTGACGAGCACTTCAATTTATAAGGGTGTGAAACGAATTTTATCTAAAAAGTTTTTTCATTTAATACAAAAATCCATTATAAAATTTTCGGCAATATGAGTTTTTTAAGAATCCTTTAGGGTGCATAGCCTGAATAGATTAGGTACAAACAAATTTATTACTTTGTTTAATTTTTTTTATATTTATTTATATAATTTATGTAAAAAAAACTACATTTTATATTAATATAAGTTTTCACACTACTTAAATTTATTACCAAAATAAAAATTGTATCTCTTTAATACCTAAAAACAATTATTTTTATTTTCCTAGTTACTGCTTCTATAAAATGTCACTGAAAGATAACAAAATTGAAAAATTGCACATGTTCATTTTATATGAAAATGATTGTTTTTAGGTATTGGAAGGATGCAATCTTTATTTTATTAATAAATTTAAGTTGTGTAAAAACCAATACAAAAATGTTGAGCCTCGAATAAAAAATAGGTTAATCCTAAGTTTTAAGTTTTTTATATTTACTAAATAGTAATATTATCAGTAGCGTACCTAGCCTCGAGTGGGCCCCGTATAAAAAATCTGGTAGGGGCCCAGAGGGGTCCTCAAGGGTGAATAGGTCTTTCAAGAATGTACTCAAAAACTGGTCATGGGGTATTTTTCGGGAACGTTTGGTCTCCTCAAAATCACTTTCATTGAAATCCCACCTGATCGGAAACTTAAAATATTTAGATTTTTTTATTTTTTTTATTTTTTGTGGTCATTTTAAGAGATGAGGAAATGTTTGGTTTTCCAATCTAAAAAAAATGCCTGTTTCTGATATTCAAAATATATATTTATTAAAAATTAAAACCAATTTCTATAAAAATTAAATTAAATCATTTTAAAGTGTATCCCGTAACAACCTGTTAACATAACACAACATATAAACTATACATGAGTTGATGAAAACTCTACTACTGCTTTTAGTAACAAACTACAGTATCTCTCATCGCTAATGTCATTTATTTTATACTTTTCCCGCATAGCGGAAAGGTGCGGGCAGAAACAATTCGTATTCAGGAAAATTTTATTTTAATAAATAGAAATATAAACAATTAAATAATAATTTTGTTTATTTATTTATTTATTTAATTTCATGCCTCAATTTTTTTAACATGTGGGTAATATGTTTTTTGCTTACGCATTTCGAAGCCAATCGGGGGGGCCCGATTGGCTTCGAAATGCGTAAGCAAAAAACATATTACCTAGCCGGGGCCCCGTATCATTGATACCAAGGTAGCTACGCCCCTGAATATTATATTAAAATTAATTTATTAATTTTATTTATACTATTATTCGTGCATTAAATTAGGCGTGATATTTAAGTGAATTAATAACAAAAATTGTAAAAAAAATACAATCCATATATTTTTAAAATCCGATCATAAACTTAATTACAAACAATATACGTACTCTTATTAAATAAAATAATATTTAAGCAATTATTGTTAATTTGCTGATGCTGGTGCTTTATACATTTTAATTACTAAACAAATTTTTTCAAAGGGAAATAAGATTCTTATAGATTTTGATTTATATTGTTTTGTAATTTAATTGTTTTATTTTCTGTTGTCAGGCGTTTCAAAAAGGTAATTTAACACTGGCAACTTTACCTAAATCGTTGATTAAATAAAACTTTTCCTTTAAATTTGATTTTTTCCTTTGAGAATGCCACCTTTTATTATTAATTTATTTCGACTTAACAAACATATCGCCTTCATTCAAAAACTTTGAAATTAAACAACGAAATTAAACTTCCACTTTGGTTTTAATGAGTTTTGCTCTTGCCGCAATATAAAATGTTTTTTCGTTGCGGTGCTTTTTTACTGTGCCATTCGGGTAATGCAACTTTTGAGAAGTTTCTAGGTAAACTTGCCGAAACTAATTTCACATAGGCATATTTGATTAAGTGGCATGAAATTGTTAAGACAAATATTTGAATTTTGAAACAAACGAGAAAATAATTAAATTGAAATTGCTTCTATAATAATATTTTATGCGAATATGAGTTTTATGAAGTTTATATAAACTGATTTGCAAAATTAAAGCACAGTTATTTCAAAGATCTAATAATAATGCATGAATTAATTAATTTTGCACATCAGTATACATAACTAATAATTTTAGTTATTTATTCATGAATTTTGAATAATTTATATTTTTAATTCTATACACATTTTACTTGTCTTTTTTATTATATAAAAGCAGAAAAAACTTTTAAAATTAAATAAACAATTGAGTAAAAGAGGTTTCCCTTAAAACAACCTGCTATTTAATTTTTTTTCATTTTTAATTTGACATGAGTATGAATAAGAGTATAAGAACGTATTTAAATTGGTTGTTTTTAAAAAAGCTTTAGGGGGCTTTTTTATAAACCGGTAAATTTGATACAAAAATATGACTTGGGTATTGCTGTATGTCTATTTGCTATCACCTTATGAATCTTTTCCCATTTCATTTCATTAAGTATTATATTTTGGCAGGGTTGGACGGCATTATAAATAAACTATTTAATTTAAACTGGTTTAAACTATTGTGGAAACACCACGTTGCTATGACAGTTTTTTAGAACGTTTTTTGCATAAAAATTGTTTTGGTTAAGAGGAAGTTAGTTTGTTATATTTGTGTTAATTTTGTTTCAATAAATTGACCATTTTTTGTATTTTTTAGTATGAATTTCAACTTAAGAAATATTCTCCCTAGCAGTATGTGCTTAAAAATAAACCAGATAATTTTCATTCAAGCTTGTTGTACAAATTCCACTAGTTTTTGGACCTCATAGAAAGGTAGTTAAAGACTTAAAAAAACACCCATTCAAATAATATCGAAGGAGGTCAAAGGAGAAATAACAAGTTTTTGTAACAATTTTATTGTTTAGGTAAAACTCCTAAAGGTTTATGTAAATAAAAAAAATTGAAACCACATCAAATATGGAAAAAATACTTAAAACCAAAATATAATCCATACCAGCAAACGATGCAATTTCACGTAAACACAGTCTATTCTCATTTGCACGCTCGAGCGCGCTCGTTCTATTCTCATTTGCCATTTGTCGGCTGACGGTCGACCGATTGTTTTGTCACGCGTACCGCCAGTACTGCATGCAACGAGCAAAAGACGTAGCAAATCACGTAGGATCGAATTCGATCAATGTAACGCGGTTGAGAGCAAACTTTTGGCAAAAATTAGTTTAAGGTTTTAAGTTTTTAAAAAAATATGGGTTCAAAATAATTTCTAAAAAGGCTGAAATTAAAAAATGCCCATATTTACCATAATAATAGTATTAATTATTAATTAATAAAAAATTAAGAATTAAGCATTAAATATAGATTTTTATTATTAATTGTTATGTTTTAGGGTTATTTGCTTACTTTTATTTTATTTTGAATTGAATTTTAAATATTATTTTAATATATACAATTATAATTGCTACAGATATATATGTCTATGGAGTTATCTAATTTAGGATCACATGGTTGTGAAAATATATGCGTCTATAAATTAAGGATGTTGTTTGGATTTAATTTTTTAGTTAAATTTTAGTATAGCTAGTAGTTCTTAATTATCATGATTATGTTAAAAGGTTAAGTGGAAGAACGGAAGAACGGAAGGATCACATGGTTGTGAAAATATATGCGTCTATAAATTAAGGATGTTGTTTGGATTTAATTTTTTAGTTAAATTTTAGTATAGCTAGTAGTTCTTAATTATCATGATTATGTTAAAAGGTTAAGTGGAAGAACGGAAGCTGACATTATTTGCGTTCAACCGTTCATATTTTGTTGCAATAAAGACATTATTATTATTATTATTATTAGACTTAAGTATAAGTTAAAATATCTTAAAAGTTTACATTTTATTCTGTTTCAGGTTTTTAGACAGAAATGCCTTTCTCTACGGTCTTATAATTCCATGTTGTCTAATAGTGGTTGCAACCCTATTTTACCTGGCCAGATCAGCCGTATTGGCAAGGTACATAATCAGTATGCAGGCAGATCGTAGGATACGTGAGAAAATGTCAAGAAAAAGGACATTGCAAATACTATTATTTGCCAAGGTATGTATGCTCTTCAAATTTTTATCCCAAGATTAATGTTTTTGACCCCATTTAATTTTATAGGTATTTCAACATAATAGAATTTTTTATATTCCCAATTCCTTATACCTTTATATATGTATTGTTAAGTTTTTTTTTATACGTTGGATTATATTATAAAAATTTATTAAGTTAATGGAAAAATTCAATTTCCTTAATACAAAAACTCTCTTATACAATACGACACTTCTTCTTAAAAATAAATTTTGTTTTTATTCAACATCCATTTCATTTCTTAACTTTAACCGGTGGGCGAAATTTTACTTGGCCCACGGGCTGTTAATATTAACTATAGTTAACTATTGATAGTTAGTATTTTTTTAATGCATGGTTCTCATTTTTCATCTAAAACTATTATAATAGCTTTATATGAAAATAATAGCTTTAGATGAAAATAAAAAAAAGTGAAGTTAAAACTTGACAGTTGAATCCCCCATTATCAAAACCCCTTAACCCTAGAACGCTAAACATATTTCTACACCACTTGAGACTAAGCATTCGTAAATTTTACGAATATTTTTTTTTCAGGTTTTTTATTTATTTTTTCTTATATCAAAACAAACTTCAACAAAGAAACGTATTATTTATTAAACACAAAGTCTTAATATACCATTTAAGTACATTTTTTACAAATTTCGCCACGGTGTTCCGTACAATATGGTTTTTTACATTTTAAACAAAAGTGAGTAGTCATTCGTCTCTTCTTTGATGGGCAACTGGCACAAATGGTTCTATTGGGCACTGTTCTCTCTTCCTCGACTGTCTGTCTGTCTTCTGTCACTGTTTCTCCTAGAAGCCGACTAATACTTTCACGGAGTGACCGCTGCAAAGTGGGTATTTTGACTCGCTCTTCTAGCAACGGCGTCACTAAAAGCTTATACAACTCCAACATATATGCCTTTCTGGAGATCAATTTTTGACGACGTTTTGTTCTATGGGCATTGTACAAAATATAGCTATTTACGCAGGCAATATTTAGTATTCCAAAGAAAAGGCATAAGGGCCATCTTTTGGTTTTTCTAGAAGTACTCATAATGGAACACATTTGGTCCAATGTATCCACTGACCCTTTTGTCTGATTGTAAGTTTCAATAATTTCTGGTTTTCCTGACGTTTCTGAGACACTACAGCCTTGGTGCATTGTTGATAAAAGTAGAACGTTTTTATTCTTTTTGGGTGTATATGAGACAAGCACCTTTTCTTTATCAAAACAAAATTTGGAGCTGCCTGGATCGCGATTCTTAGTTGCTAACATTTCTGCCGGAATCTCTCGTTTATTTTTTCTTATAGTACCAACCATAGTAAGATTGTATGGTGGATCTAATAAATCATCAGCTAGTTTGACGGACGTAAACCAATTGTCCATTGTAATATTTCGATTTGAACCTAAAATTGTTTCACACAATGTTTTCACGTAATATTCTCCTAAAGGCATCCCATTGGTGTTTGTGCTTTTGCCCAAATATGGCATGGCGTCGAACATGTATTTTGATGAAACATCGCATACCAAAACTATTTTTATCCCATATTTAGACGGCTTATTTGGTATGTACATGCGAAATGGACATCTTCCTCGAAAACCTAGTAGTTGTTCGTCAATGGTAACATAAGAGCTTGGTCTATACGAATTTCTGCATTGACTTATAAATTCATCCCAAATGTCTCTGATAGGCGCCAATGCATCCGTTTTTTTTCTCTCGTCCCTCGTGCTTTTATCATCAAAACGTAAACAATCCAATAAAAACTTGAACCTTTCGCGACTCATGACTGCCTTGAACACAACTCCACATATTTTATCATCAAATAATTCTTTGGATGACAAATGGTTACTTTTTAAATAAGCAGACAAAACCAGTAATCCTAGCAATGCTCTTATCTCATTAGGACTAGAAGTGAATATTGTAGAAGATTTTGTTTTATATTTGTTAGATTTTTCTCCAATCATAGCGTTTGTATGTAATACAATTTTATCAATCATAGAATCCGTTATAAATACCTTAAAAAATTCGTTCGCAAGGAGATCATTCTGGACAATCATTGCTGGACCCGGAAAAATATGGAGAATATTCCGTTGTGGAGTTCTCGATACCGATTTGGGAACTGCACTCCATCGATGACCATTTTTCCCTACAAGTCTTACTTGTGATCGAATTGTCTCATCAACTCTTACGACTCTTCTTTGTGAACATGTTTCTGTTTTAGATGCTTCGTGCTCTTGTTGTTGTTCTTGTTCGGTTTCATTATATCTGGATGGCAACGAATCGTCTACCGATATTTGATCATCCGCATGTGTTTCTTCATTTGATTTTTTATGTAAAAGTCTTATTTTTTTTGCTCTAGAAGGGCCATATTCATCTTCGCTATCCTCCTCTGAAGGTACGTAATCACTTTCACTGTCCTCAAAATCTTCAAAGTCTAGGGCATCCTCAATTTCACTCCCACTTTCCTGGGTGCTGTCGTCATCCGATTCCAGAATCAAGTTTTTGGCTATTTCCTCAAGTTCGGCTTGAGTAAGAGGCCTGTTGTCTTTACATTGTTTAGACATAGTCTTTAGGAATACCTTGTAAGTACTTGTAAGTTAAATGCGCAAAGGAATAATCTAAAAAAATAGATTATCTAAAAAATTGTTTATTTAACAAAAGTTACGTTAAAACTAACCTTTCGTAAAATTTACGACAAGCGTCTTATAGCTGCTAACAGGTTACACTTAAAAATCAACCAACACCTACGGGCTAGTCACCAACACTGTCGAAGAGAATACCAAGACGCAGAACTCGATACCTAACGAATCCGCACGATAGTGGCCGAAAATAAAAATCGCAGTCGTAAAATTTACGAAGCTTAGCGTTCTAGGGTTAAATCCGTTTTGATGAAAAATTAGAACCATGCATTAAAAAAATACTATCAATTTTTGCATTCAAATGGTTGAAAAAGCCACGGAATGTATATATTAATTTTTTTATAAATATTTGATGGCTTTTGATCATGGTCAACTATAGTTGAATAAAATATTGTGTGCAACTATTCTACCCGCGTGTTACTAAATTCCACACATAGGAATCTCATCTTTCTCCCACTACACAGTGAAAAAAATGTTTGTTAATTTTAACCAAATATTAACCAGATTTTATGTTATTCCTGGTTCACATAATTTTATATTAAGTTTACAACCAACTGTAATCTGTTATTATAACAAACATTTTGTAGATTTAATAACAAAATCCTGTCAATAATTCAACCATAATTATTGTAATTTTTAAAAAGGACCTTATTTTTACAAACCTTTTTGTAGACCCAGTAATAACAGCATTTGCTGGAAATTGGTAAATTTGGAAGAATATAATTGAATCGGTGAGCAGTTTGTCTCGGCATAGTCGCCTAACCCACTGCGCTACCTGTGGCCCCTATATATTATTCAAGTAATAATAAAAATAAGTCAAGTTCTATACCATTAATTATGTTATGTATACATAGAGTCTTTAATGTAAAGTTTAATTTAAAAAAAAAACCTTGTTATTTTTAATAATTTGTGTTACAGCTTTTTTAAATAACCTTCATAATACCAAGATAAATAAATTACAGTATATAATCATGATAATCATAATTTTTAGAAGAGAATTGTATCATCCAGTTTCAGAATTTTGTAAAATTAAGTTATTCGATTTTTTTGCATTTTCAAGTTATTTTGAGTGATGCTGTGTAAATAAGGGGCATCAACTTTAATTTAAAAAAATATATATACCCTATAGCTTATTTTCAATTTTGTATACTTACTTTGAGTACTTGTTTTCAAATTTTGTACTTTTTATGTACTCGGTACTAAGTCCAGAGTAAATTTAAAAAAAAGTATGTGTACTTGTACTTATTTAATTTAAAAATGTAAAAATGGACACGAGTACATTTTTTTTACTCGAGTAAATTTGATGTACTCGAGTACTTTTGTTAGACTCGAGTACATTTAATGTACTGGAGTACTTTTGTTGTACTTGAGTTCTTTTTGTACTCGGCATCTTTGTGTTTTTGGAAAAAGTACTTTGTACTTGTACTCGTGAGTACTTTTGGATTTTTACTCGAGTACCTTTTTCTTGTACTCGGAACAGCTCTGCTTTGAGCCTTACGTTTTTGACAATTTTTACAAAAAATATTACCAAATAAGTGTTTATTGCAATGTTGCAAGCGTTCTATAATTTAAACTTTATTATTGTGAGCACTCTTTACTAAAGACATTGATTATCAATGGGCTGTAAAAATAATTTAGACCAAACGGATAATAGTTATTTGTTTTACAAGTTTTTCATGCGAGTGTTTAAGTTGCTCATGAGGCCGTAAGGCCGAGTGTGCATAAACAGCTGTTAAAATTACTTTTATCTTATTCTTTTAAGTTTTAAGGTATAAGTTACTTAAAATCAATAAACTTACCTTCTCAATTTAAATAAAGGCACTAAAAATTAGAATTTATTATACAAACACAATTAATTGTGTTCAAATGATATTTAGACAAACATATACAAATACAATACAAATTTTGAAAGGAATTTCAAACGATGCTGTCAATTTCTTTTCACACAGACCTGTCACTTTTCACACAGAAATTTCACTTTACATTCGTGTTATGCCTTGCCAATGAAAAGATTCATTTTCTTAGCAACGATGCCAATACGAAATGTAACTTTTACATAGAGGTCGTAGAAAAAGTTTTTTTCCTTCTAGTCTCTATAAAACCCGTTTGGACCCATCAAAAATTTCTATCTAACCTCACTTTTAACTTTTACACCAAATATTAATTGCCCCATCTCAATCTAATAATCTACTTTTTTACACGGTGCAAATAGAAAAATTACCATAATATCTTTTCTCGATTTTTATGTAAGAATGTCATATTCTCGCACGCAAAATCGTTGAAGAATGAAGCTCATTCTTAAACGATTTTTGGTAACATTTAGTTTTTAAGTATTGGTACC